CTTTCTTTCTTTCTTTCTTTCTTTCTTTCTTTCTTTCTTTCTTTCATTCTTCTTTCTTTTCTTTCTTTTTCTTTCTTTCTTTCTTTCTTCTGTCATTCTTTCTTTCTTTCTTTCTTTCTTTCTTCTTTCTTTCTTTCTTTCTTCTTTCTTTCTTTCTTTTCTTTCTTTCTTTCTTCTTTTTCTTTCTTTCTTTCTTTCTTTCTTCTTTCTTTCTTTCTTTTCTTTCTTTCTTTCTTTTTCTTTCTTTGTCATTCTTTTTCTTTCTTTCTTTCTTTCTTCTTTCTTCTTTCTTTCTTTTCTTTCTTTCTTTCTTTCATTCTTTCTTTCTTTCTTTCTTTCATTTTTCTTTCTTTCTTCTGTCTTTTCTTTCTTTCTTTCTTTCTTTCTTTCTTTCTTTTTTCTTTCTTTCTTGTCATTCTTTCTTTCTTTTCTTTCTTCTTTCTTTCTTTCTTTCTTCTTTCTTTCTTTTTCTTTTCTTTCTTCTTTCTTTCTTTCTTTCTTTCTTTCTTTCTTCTTCTGTTATTCTTTTCTTTCTTTCTTTCTTTCTTCTTTCTTTCTTTCTTTCTTCTTTTCTTTCTTTTTCTTTCTTTGTCTTTCTTTCTTTTTTCTTTCTTTTTTTTCTTTCTTTTTCTTTTTTCTTTCTTTCTTCTTTCTTTCCTTCTTTCTTTCTTTCTTTCTTTTTCTTTCTTTCTTTTTCTTTCTTTCTTTCTTTCTTCTTTCATTCTTTCTTTCTTTCTTTCTTTCTTCTGTCTTTCTTTCTTTCTTTCATTGTTTCTTTCTTTCTCTTCAATTTTTTTTCTTTCTTTCTTTCTTTTCTTTTTCTTTCTTTTCTTTCATTCTTTCATTTTTTCTTTTTCTTTCTTTCTTTCTTCTTTCATTCTTTGTCTCTTTCATACTTTCTTTCTTTTCCTTTTTTCTTTCTTTCTTTCTTTCTTTCTTTCTTTCTTTCTTTCTTTCTTTTTCTTTCTTCATTCTTTCTTTCTTTCATTCTTTTTTTCTTCTTTCTTTCTTTCTTTCTTTCTTTCTTCTTTCTTTCTTTCTTTTTCTTTCTTTCTTTCTTTCTTTCTTTCTTTCTTTCTTTCTTCTTTCTTTCTTTCTTTCTTTCTTCTGTCTTTCTTTCTTTCTTTCTTTCTTTCTTCATTCTTTCTTTCTTTCTTTCTTTCTTTCTTCTGTCATTCTTTCTTTCTTTCTTTCTTTCTTTCTTTCTTCAGAGCTTTCTTCTTCATTCTTTCTTTCTTTCTTTCTTTTCTTTCTTTCTTTCTTTCTTTCTTTCTTTCTTTCTTTTTTTCTTTCTTTCTTTCTTCTCTTTTCTTTCTTTCTTTTTTCTTTCTTCTTTCTTTCTTTTCTTTCTTTTCTTTCTTCTGTCATTCTTTCTTGTCTTTTTCTTCTTTCTTTCTTTCTTTCTTTCTTTCTTTCTTTCTTTTTTCTTTCTTTCTTTTCTTTCTTTCTTTCTTTTCTTCTGTCATTCTTTCTTTCTTTTCTTTCTTCTTTCTTTCTTTCTTTCTTTCTTTCTTTCTTTCTTCTTCATTCTTTCATTTTTCTTTCTTCTTTTCTTTCTTCTTTCATTCTTTCTTTCTTTTTCTTTCTTTTTTCTTTCTTTGTTTCTTCTTCTTTCTTTCTTCTTTCTTTCTTTTTCTTCTCTTTCTTTCTTTTTCTTTCTTTCATTCTTTCTTTCTTTCTTTCTTTCTTTCATTCTTCTTTCTTTCTTTCTTTCTTTCTTCTTTCTTCTTTCTTTCTTCTTTCTTTCATTCTTTCTTTCTTTTCTTTCTTTCTTTCTTCTTTCTTTCTTTTCTTTTCTTCTTTTTCTTTCTTTTTCTTTCTTTCTTTCTTCTTTCTTTTTCTTTTTTCTTTCTTTCTTTCTTTCTTTCTTTCTTTCTTTCATTCTTTCTTTCTTCTTTTCTTTCTTTCTTTCTTTCTTTCTTTCTTTCTTTCTTTCTTTCTTCTGTCATTCTTTCTTTCTTTCTTTCTTTCTTTCTTTCTTTCTTCTTTTTTCTTTCTTTTTCTTTCTTTCTTTCTTTCTTTCTTCTCATTTCTTTCTTTCTTTCTTTCTTTCTTTCTTTCTTTCTTTCTTTCTTTCTTTATTTCTTGTCATTCTTTCTTTCTTCTTTATTTCTTGTCATTCTTTCTTTCTTTTCTTTCTTTCTTTCTTTCTTTCTTTCTTTCTTTCTTGTCATTCTTTCTTTCTTTTCTTCTTTCTTTCTTTCTTTCTTTCTTTCTTTCTTTCTTTCTTTCTTCTTTCTTTCTTCTGTCTTTCTTTTCTTTCTTTCTTTCTTTCTTTCTTTCTTTTTTCTTTCTTTCTTCTGTCATTTTTTTCTTCTTTTCTTTCTTTCTTTCTTTTGGTCATTTTCTTTCTTTCTTTCTTTCTTTCTTTTCTTTTCTTCTTTCTTTCTTTTTCTTTTTCTTTTCTTTCTTTCTTTCTTTTTCTTTGTCTTTCTTTCTTTCTTTTTTCTTTCTTTCTTTCTTTCTTTCTTTCTTTCTTTCTTTTTCATTCTTTCTTTCTTTCTTTCTTTTTTTCTTTTCTTCTTTCTTTCTTCTTTCTTTTTTTTTCTTTTCTTTTTCTTTCTTTCTTTTTTCCTTTTCTTTCTTTCTTTCTTTTTTCTTCTTCATTCATTCTTTCTTTCTTTCTTTCTTTTTTCTTTGTCATTCTTTCTTTCTTTTTTTCTTCTGTCATTTCTTTCTTTCTTTTTCTTTCTTTCTTTCTTTTTCTTTCTTTCTTTCTTTTCTTTTCTTTCTTTTCTGTCATTCTTTCTTTCTTTCTTTCTTTCTTTCTTTTTTTCTTCATTCTTTCTTTTCTTTCTTTCTTTTCTTTCTTTCTTTCTTCTTTCATTCTTTCCACTTCTGTCTTCGCTCTTTGTCCTGAAACATAATTCCCCGATATGCCTTCGCTCTTTGGAAAGCGTACAAACAATTACCTACAAAACAAATTACCTGTTTCGCCTGGAATAAATTGGTCCTCTCAAAGACGTTTCATTAATCAATGAGATAAATCGGACCAAAGGTCATGTCAATAAAATGCATGAGTCAAAGCCCACGGCAGTCCCTTCCTCAACATAATATCATGAATGCCAGCAACTGGAACAATTGATTGTTCATATATTAAAGATTCAGGCGACGTTGTCGAAAAAAACGAAGTAGAATATATATATATATATATATATATATATTTCATTGATGAATGTTTTATTAAATAATTCAACAGAAGACATTGGTTTATACAAACGGCTTCCTATATTTAATACTTCACGTTTTCATTCTTGTGTGGTCTTGTGTGACATCAAGAGTTGCGATGTGTTATTCGCTTCCACGTCTGGTATATACGAGTTTGTCGTTGCTTTGAAATTTTTCAAGCAACAAAAACAGACTATCATTATTGTTTCGTCCGTGTATTGTTAGATATATTGAAGTGTAATTGTCATCTTTGATAATGGGTTATGTTAGCCGAAAGCTTAGGATTAAAACATGTATCAATATGGTGATTTCCTTTCGTCTTTCAATGATAATGTTATTAAGCTTATCAGACAATATGAAAGGAACATACTTAAAAATAAATAAACAAAACTTTTCTATATTATTTAATGAAACATGCATCAATACATATATATATATATATATATATATATATATATATATATATATATATATAAATAGAAAGAACAGTAAGATACAGACATAATGAACACGCAACACCCCTTTGTTTTCTGTATCCTTAGAAACGTGAATTATGATTTTTGCTGTGTCGTTAAAACCCAGTAATTTTAAAAGTTACTCCAAAATTCGCTTGACGATGAAATGGAACTAATGTCTTTAATTTAATTACAAAATTAAATTCGGAGCTTTCAGCTTCCATTTTTGAAACATGGTTAGAACTGTGTAGCGAAAAAACATATTTTAAATCAATTAATATATGTGTATATATATATATATATATATATATCTATATTCTTCAAATCCCATTATACAAAAATTCATGTGAAAATGTTTGAGTTTATGGAATTAAAAGTTTTGCAAGTTGGTATATCTTTTAAATGGGTGCGTGAATAATTAAGTAAAAGCATATAAAATCTTGGTTTTTATTCTCTTTTTAAAAATACATACTCTGGGGAATTACGTTCTCAATGACTCTTAAGTATGTCGGTTAACTTTCTGGCTTCAAGCGTTAAGATAAGTAAAATAAGCAGTGTTATAATGATCGCGTCCAAGACAGCCTTGCGCAGAGTTGGAACGACCAAAGAAAAACTTGACTTACTTCATCGGTGGACTGTCGGTACGGTTATAATGGTTAAAAAATTTATATTTACTCAATCGTTCGATAGATAGATAGATAGATAGATAGATAGATAGATAGATAGATAGATTGTGCGATGGGTAAATTATCGCCATTTTATATTTTTAGTTTTGCGCATGTGCGTGGTAATAATGAGTGACCTCAGTGCAAGTTTTATTAAAGTTTTTTTTCAGTTTTTATGAATACTATGAATTAATTGTCAATAGTGCACAAATGTCTTAAACTGTTTACAGTAGATAGTTTAAAATATCGAGGTCTGTACTAATAATTTTAATATTTATTTCGTAAAAAATCTCTCGACAACACCATAACTTAGTTACCTCCCCTGAAGCGTTACTCAAGCCACTCACACAGTACTCAACTCAGCGTTCTTCACTTCAAAAGTTAAAAAAAACATAACATTTAGATGAACACAAATTTGGTGTTTGAAAATGATGAACACTATAATAGTTGTCTTGAAATAAACAAAACTCTGAAAATGGCATTGTGGTAATGTCGAAACAACAAAGCATAAAATATGTATCAACACGGTAATTTTTTTCACTTCCTTTAATAATGACACCAAAAACCTTGTCCGTGAATATGAAAGGATCTAATTGAAAAAAGTAGACAAAACCTGTCTAAATTTTTCAGTGAAATATATATATATATATGTATTTATATATATATATATATATGTATATATATATATGTGTCTGTGCGTGTGTGCATCTTCCTAGAAACGCAGTTCTTTGTACATGAATAAAGAATAAAGAAGGAGGTTCAGAAGCAATGAAGTTCGCGCGCAAACACTGTAAGTATGACGTCAGCAAAACTTTTCCTCGTCGAACGAGAAACGATACTATTTGCCCGTCGGGATAACTCTGTACATTAGTCGAGTGGCTCCTTGTCGATTTGCCTGGTCGAATTGCATTCAAATATATCGAAACTGACGCCACACTTGAGGCTCCAGTTTGTTTAATCAATCTGAAAAAAAAAACAAACAAAATGCATAATTCCCAGACACGAACTGAGGCACCAGTGCTTCTCGATATAAAATTCTACATTAGTCATTTTAAAGTTTTGTTAAATCCTGAAGGCTATTTTTTTCTGTTCTCTCCATCTACGAATATACATATATATATATATATATATATATATATATATGTGTGTGTGTGTGTGTGTGTGTTTGTGTGTGTGTGTGTGTGTGTGTGTGTTTGTGTGTGTGTGTACCGGGTGTAACAGCAAAATTGTACAAATCGTCTAACAGCGTAATTGTTTATCCCACAAAATGTCTATTATCTAAAAATAAAAAATAAAAACTGCTAAACTAATTGAGATTCTTTTTTCCAGGTTTTCAAACAAGACGCCTAGCCATCTTGACACGATTTGTCGTAAGAATCACTGAAAAAAAAACAGTCTTCCGAAATGAGCAATGGAAAAGGGAGGGAAAAGATCATTTAGCCCTTCAGTAATGGTACCAAGATTCCTAATCGGGTTTCCATCTTCAAAGTCCATTCAAGAACCATCAAGAGAATGGTGAATAAATTTTTAAAAACGAGGAAACAGCAGAGTAAAAAACTGGATCAGGTGGTCACAACAGGAAGAGAGACCATCATTTTAACTTAAAGCTAAAGAGATCAACTAGAAAAGATCCAACTCAACTCATAAGACGTTTGGCATGTGAGAGAGGAGTTTCAGCAATGACAGTCCAAAAAGCAGCGAAAAAAGACTTGGAAATGAAATCGTACGTGAAACCTGTGAGGCACCTTGTTATTCCAGGATAGAAAGTTAGAGAGGGCAAAGATCATCTTGAATAAGTTGGAAAATGATCTTGGAATAACACACACACACACACACACACACACACACACACACACATATATATATATATATATATATACATTTGAACTTTATTTCTGTTATGGTCTGGTTCCTTACCACGGTGATAGTCCACCAATAAAGTGGTATAGTCCAGGAATATATACAGGAAGTAGAACCAATAAAATGAAGAACTCAGTCTCGACCAGCTCCAATGTCTTGCAATAATTGTCTGAACGCGAAAACTGCCTCTGACCTATTGAATCCGTATAAATTAAAGGTTCCGGGTTAGCCTCTTTCAAGGCAGAGAGAGTTCAACCGATCAGCCTGTCAAGACTTGAACGATCCCGAAAGATTTCCGACTCCGCCATTTATTGAATCCCGTATAAACATATATATATATATATATATATATATATATATATATATATACATTTTGAACTTTATTTCAATCACTCATGAGCTTCCAATCCTTAGCTATGATTAATTAATGATGAACATATCATTTTCGTTTATGATCGATTTAATCATGATTCTTCTGTTAAGCGTGGAGTGTAATTCTTATTGTTCAATGTAGAATCTAATAGAGTTATAAAAACCTCGGAGAATTCAAATAAGATTTCTTTAATCTTTTCTAAAATACAATGGTTCACCTCCACACGCAAAAAAGCTAACGCGCTGACAAGCTACAAATAAACCACCTTCTTTCCTTCTCTCTTTGCAAGAGATGGCGACGGAGGGTGCGGTGAAGTACAAAAAGAAATGTTGTCTCGGGCGACACAGTTCACAGTAAGAACTAAATTGTATCGAATCTCGACACTCAGAATTTTGAAATAAAAAAAAAAAAAAAAAAAAAAACCCTGAGTAGAATGATTGAAAGCTTTACGTTATTGAACTTGGGAACTTTTGCAGCAAAAAACAAAACAAAAAAAAAAAACAAAACAAAAATGGTTGTAAATATGCAACATTAATGAGGATTATATACGGATATATTCCTGGGATGTTTATAAATTGTACATTGTTCAGTTATCTTTAACAACGAAGTATTTTTAATTACAAAATTATACATAGATTAAACGAAAATTACTTACAATAAAAATACATATTACTTACAATACATTCCTTCTTGCTGTCAACTATGACATCACAGGCAGACTAGTATATATACATAATAAATATCATCAATCTTATGGCTAATATAGTTATCATTTTGTTCTCTTTTTATTCTTCATATCTATTAAATCTACATATTGTTAGAAACACATATGGATTATATATATATATATATATATAAAGACATTTTTATGTTTATACATTCTTTTTTATAGATACAAATATTTAAGTAAATGCTGTTTTATAGTAAACAGTATTAACAATATTTACCAGCCTGAAAGTCCGAGAAATTCTCATAGAAAATATGCGTCCTCCGACAGGAATTGAACCTGTATCCTATAAGGAACCGTCATATAGCCCGATGTGCTTTTACCAATTTTGCCACAGAGGAGTGTTCAGTTAGCAAGGTCGATTTTACTGTTTTTAAACTACAATTTTCCATGATTTTCTCATGTACATTCATATCTGTGGCGAAATTGGTATAAATAAATAAATAATTTAAAAAAAAAATCTGATGATTCGTTGCTCTTAGTATGATGGCAAATAAGCAGGCTCTGAAATTTCAGATTGAATCTACGGACTGTGGAGGATTACTCAGATCTTCCAAAGTTGACACAAAAAATATTGTGCTTTGGGAATTTTTGCAGTAAACATAATTTTGGTTGTAAATATGTGAAATTTATGAGGATAATATACGGATATCTTCCCTTAGGTGTTTATAAATTGTACGCTGTTTAATTATTAGCTTTAGCAATGAACTATTTTAAATTACAGAATTGTACTTGGATTAAATGAAAATTACTTAAAATATAATACATATTACTTATAATACATTCCTTCTTGCTGTCAACTATGACATCACAGGTACACTAGTATATATACATAATAAATATCATCAATCTTATTGCTAATATTATCATTTTCTTGTCTTTTTTTTCCTCAAATCTATTAAATCTACATATTAGAAGCACATGTAAACCATCTTCCACTTGATACACACACACATACACATATATATATATATATATATATATATATATATATATATATATAAATTTTCTTTGCTTCTGTCTGGTTTTTAAAATTTGTTTTAAACCAGTTTCATTTTATTTTTTCTTATTAACCTAATCGATTTGAAAATCCTTACAAATTAATCTTAATTTGTAAGGTGAAATGATCATAGCCATGAAGTAATCTTAATTCTTATTATATATATATATATATATATATATATATATATATATATATATATATATATATATATTATATATATTCTTTTTTATAAATGTCTTAAAATAATTGTCGGACTTTGTCCATTTCAAAATTTTGGTTGTAAATATGTAATATCTATGAAGATAATATACGGATATCTTCCCTTAGGTGTTTATAAATTGTACACTGTTCAATTATTAGCTTTAACAATGAATTATTTTTAATTACAAAATTGTATTTGGATTAAAGGAAAATTACTTACAATATGATACATTTTACTTACAATACATTCTTTCTTGTGGTCAATTTTGAAGGCATGTCAACATTAATCTTAATATAAAGAACAAACAGTAAAATATTTACACGAAAAACTAAGCTACAACAAAGGCAGGGTTCTTAATAAAATACCAAAGGTTTATTATTGGCAAACCAAAAACTTAATTACAAAGATGACGATTTTCGACAAATTTCGTAGAAAATATGCGTTTTCTGACAGGAATCGAACCTGTATACTATAAGAAACCACCATTAAACCTGTCGCGCCATGAACGCTCCGCTACAGAGAACTTCCGGTTAAGCAAAGTTAATTTTTCTCGAATATTCAGGCCAGTAAATGTAATTAATTCTGTTTTATTAAAGAACAGAGCATTTACTCAAATAAGTGTAGCTATAAAAAATAACGGACAAATAGAAAATATATAAATATTTGTCGGATTTAATCTATTTCATTATATATATATATATATATATATATATATATATATATATATATATATATATATATACCAAATTGTAATTGGTAGGGATTATTCCAAAGAGTACATTTAATCCATGAGAGCTCAATGTATGATACAGAACAAATTATAATAATAATTAGTTTTTTCCTAATTATAAACACAGACACACACGTATATATATATATATATATATATATATATATATATATATATATATATATATATATATATAGAGAGGGGCTACAGAGAGGGAGAGAGAGGGAGATGTATGAAACGATTGAGATAGATAAATAAATAAATAAATAGAGAAGAGTGGGTGCTGAACCAGTT